TTTTTCCGGCGCCGAGAAAGCGTCTTCAAGGGTGCATGTTTATTGACCAGTCTATTAAATTTATTGTAAAACGTTGACAATATTTTATCTATGTATTGGGGATTATCTAGAGTAATGATGTTCCAATTGATTTGAGAGAATTCATTATTGAAGTTTTCAGCTGAGAAACTAAAATAGTCTCGCACTTTAGGAGAGGTAGATAGAACTTGACTAGTCGGGTGACGTGAAATACAGAACTGAAAGAAATGGTCGGTTACATCGGAGCCTATGTTACCGCTTAAACATGTTATATACTTAATTTTCTAATATTTCGTGGCGTGCCTTAGAAAGTTATCATCTTGTTATCGTGGCCAGACCAATGAAGAGAGAACTTTCAGATTGTGATTTCTCAATACAAAGCTACACTAAAAAGGAATCGTTCAGAAGCGTCGTAAGTGAATAGGAGATGGAAAACTCCTTTCTTGTTCTTTCCAGCATCTGCTCCAATTTATTTAGTTTTATGCGTCTATTAATGTTGGAAAGACGCGGCTCATCGCTTAGTCTTCCTAAAAGTGGCAGATGCTCGGAAGTTTTAGATGTGGTAACTTATCTGTTAGACTGCCTCAAAGAATATCTGATATCTTTTCACCCAGTTATTCCTGTAAGTTCCATGAACACAAGCTGGGCAAGCCAAATCTAGGACTCGTTTTATTATGTGATAATTACTGCAGGCAGGAAATATTGCGTCGAGGAAACAACTGAAAGTTCTAACGCTGATAAAATATACTCTACAAAAACCAATCCCTTTTCCGTACATATAACTTGAAGAAAAAAGGGATTACATCGAACCCTCGATGAATGCTTCAACAGAATCTATAAGCAGTTACACAAAATAATCATTTTTCTTTAACACTTTCCTACCGCAGTAATTAATTCGACACTCATTTCATTGTCAGTTCATAGTGCGTTTTCTAAAAATATCCTGACGCTGAACGTTATCTGCTGTGTGAACATAACAGTTCTCAATTTAAATTCAGGATATCTGTCTTTTGTCCTTTCAGACATCTGTCTGGAAATCAAAAAGGGAAAGGGAGTTCGGTTTCAAAGGTAATTTAATTGTTTATAAATAGAGGATCTATGTTAAAATGCATCACATTTTAATGCAATTTTCTGCAGATTTATACCAATCATGATCAGGATAGCTGTTCAGTGTCCCATCACTAGAGGCCGGGCTTTTAAGACTTCATCTTACCTGAGAAAATCTCTTCCAGTGTTGGTTGCGAACTTACCCAATCGTATCTGTCTCGTAAAGGTTGTTGACGGAAAAAGTCTGGAAAAAATGCTTTAGCTGTTGTGATGTCTTTTTTATGCAAATTGATCACCATGTGGTGTTTCATCGGTGGTTAGGTAGTTCCGAGGGAAACATTAGACCTTCTTACGGAAGTGAGCTGAGCTTCTGCATGGGCAGAGTGTAGAGGCTCACTGAATCTTCTATTCGTCACTAAATCCTCACGTGTGTAAGTTTTCTCTGTTGCTTCATTGCCATCCTCTTTGATACACTCTTGCGCGTTCATGAGCCTGCTTCGCTTAAGACTTCACTCGTGGCCAGTCATGCTCCTTCTACCCCGGTTTTCTTGAAGATCAAGGGCCATCTCAGTTAAGCTGATCTCCATCATCGTTCGTTTGAATGCACTTGATAGAGAATCGGATCTTTCATGCACCATGCATTCTCCAAGGCTGCATTCGGCTTTAGTCAGCTGATTCATCGCTCCTGTTAGGCAAGTCCTGTTTATTTACTCCTAAGTACAACAGTGTGCGCTCCGCTGAACTGCTCAGTGAAGCTGTAAATCAGGAACGTGCCCACGAAGATGGAATAGCTGATTCGCCTTAAACTGAACTTGGCCCGTGATATTCGGCGCACAGTTATATGAAAAATCATGCCTTCGTGTTCCTACGTCAGCGCAGTCACGTTGGACGACTTGCACTTGGCACAATCATCTGAACGTTTACCTTAATGTTCCAAGAGTTCTGCCAGAAGGTTCCTTGGATGAGTATCGCGCTCAATACTTAGTTTTTGAGTGAAGAAATGTCTCATTTTCTCGTTACCAGGGGATATTTTTCAGCTCATTGCTTCGAATTCGTGTTCTTGAAACTCGATAACAACGAATCCAGCGGGTTCTGGTCTTTTCTACTGCATCTAAATGCGCTTGCACACCGCATGGCCTGCTAAGATGCACCACCTGTCCTTTCCCAACTTTTGTCTGCTTGTGTTTTTATATCGTTCTGTTTGGCGAATATTCCAGCCAAAGGTAGTAAATCAATTTACTTCCAATAAAATAATAATTTCAAAATAAACCGTGTTTGTTTTGTAAACACATGTGGCGTTTTATTCGAGCGGAAAAAAAAGACAGGGTTTTTAATTATTCCTTTCACCGTAAAAGGATTTGACAGCAATAATCCCAGGTGGCCCAAGCTCTGTCACAGGCTCTTTCACAGTGAATAATTAAAGAGTTTGTATAGTGGGAGGACCCGTTGAGAGAGATTTGACTAGGGTCCAGGTTAACCGCGCATTAACGGTCTATCAGCTGCACAAGAAGTTCCTTCCACGCATTAGAAGAATTCTTAACGGCCGTTAATTTGAAATTCTCGCTAGATTGGTTACTCGACAAACCATCTTTTGTGGGATTTTTTTCAGTAAACTTAAAGGGAAACTATTTGGCTTTCGTGCTGCCAAGTTTTGACTCTAGGGAAAGTGTTTAAGTGTTGTTTTCGATCGATTTTGGCGAGCATGTGTCAACAGAAGTTTCCGACCTTTCCGTATTTTGTGCACGGGTGATTTAGGGCGTCAAGCTAAAACACATCAACACGGCCTCAAATCACGAGGAGAACAACACAGACTACACTCTATGAAAGTAAGACTTTATTTCTTTGATTATTGCACACAAGTTTACATTTACGGAGTCCAAAAGCAAGTCCAACTAAACCACAATACAAACTCTTTAATTATTCACTGTGAAAGAGCCTGTGACAGAGCTTGGGCCACCTGTGCAATAATATGATCTTCTCCGCAAGATGGCGCCGTTTTAATTATTTGTTCAGCTGATGGCTCGGTGCTTTTAAGTCTGCGTCTTTTGTCCGCACGTGGCTTGACAGAAAGAAACATGATCAGGAAACTTCAACTTAAAGTCAAAACACAAAAGATTGTAAATGGAAAATACATTGTATTGAAACTATCTTAGGCATATTTATGATAATTTTACTTAGTCGGTGATGATGAGTAATAGGCCATACTCTGTTGTAACTTACACTGTAACTGGATATGGAGTGAGGCTT